GCCAACCTCTAGGGCTGGACAGCAGGGATGGAGAGATGCCACAGAGAGAAAGTTACCAGGAGGTATGGCCAGGGAGTTGAAGCAACTTAGGGGTTGGAGGGCCAGGCGTGGAGGGCTTCGTTCTGTCCTAGGAACTTGGAATTTCTCTTAAATGTGAAGCCACTGCAGGCTCTGAGCAGGGATGATGTGCTCTGATTTACGAGAAATGAGAGAGGCAAATACAATACAAAGGTTTTAATTTTAAAGAAACACTGAGTTAATTTAAAGAACTTAAGAGCTCATGAATTAGGTTACAATTTGTTCTGAAGTAGCAGTAGGACCAATGCTGCTGGTTCAGCTACTGATCTTTCATTTAGGTCTCTGTCCAAATATCACCTCCTCCAGAGAGCCTCCATGATCGCATTTACCTAAAATCATCATTCTCCCTCTGAGTTTGTCTCTTTAGCTGGCTGCTTTATTTTCTTACACAGTGTTTGTCACACCTTGACAATATATCACATGCTTGTTTAATTATTCCCTGTAGTAGCATGTGAACTCCTCGAAGGTGAGGATTTCACTCTTTTGGTTATCACTTTAGCTCAACACCAATTTGCTGAATGAACCAATGAATGGCCCAGGGGCATAGGGGAATCCTTGAGTTTTAGTTCACAAACAAATAGGCCATGAGATTGGGGGATAAACAGTTAAAAATAAACTGTCCATCAAATTATAGATTATGTTCCACCATTGATTTAACATTTTTATATTTAATGTTTGAACCTCACCCCACTGCTATATAAGTATTCTGGAAAATTTAGAAAATGGGAGAAAAACAATTTATAATTTTATGCTCCTATAGACATCACGACTAACATAATTAAAAATTTTTTTATTATATAGTTTTCAAAGATAGCCACATTCTTACATGGCCTCAGTACATCCAAAGATAAAATGACTTTCTCTGGTTTTCAAACTTTAACCTAAAGCTCCTTTGGACTCTAAACTTATGGGATTTTTTTGTGTAAACCAATTAAAAATTACAAGCCACTGAGTAGCGTATGCTCCCCACTTCTGACATATTGTATTAAGTGAGGAATTCCTGTACTAGCTGCTATAGACACTTGGGATAACACTGCCTCTTCAACCCGAGCTCTCATTTTGCCGGATTTGAATTTATGGCCCGGTTTGGGACTTTAACCTGCTGAGAAAAATATCAAGAACCGAGGAGCTCTAGCAGAGAAATAAAACCTCATTAATTCTGAGTTCACCCTGCTGCCCCCAAAGTGACAAATTTCAAATCACTACAGTGTATTTTTATCCTTTGTATGAACTAATGGGTATTACTAAGCAAAATCAATAATGCGAGGAAGTTGGAAGAGAAAAGCTTATCTACCAAAGTTAAACTGCTTTCTACCATGTTAGCACAAAACAACGTGATTGCAGCGTGAGGAGGGGGCCTTGCAGCTGCGCTCGGCGGCCGGCTGACACAGGAGTGAAAAATCAGTGGGCTGCTGTCGGGGATCACACATCTCTGGTGGACACCATTCTGCTGCCAGGTGACTAGAGTCACATTTGCTAACACAAGAGGTGGTGCATAATGAGGAATTGCCAGCCAGGCATATGGAATGGCTTCTCCAAATCTAGGAAATTTATCTTTGAAATGAACAATTTGATAAATGATTAAGGTCTCTTTGCCACTTGCTGTTCACTCAGGGTGTGCAATAATTTAATTTGTTTTACCCATAAGAATCCCAGATACAGTGAGGTGAATGATGTCGTAGAAAGAAAAGAATGAACGACAGGAAAGCAACCCATTTGGAGACTGAGGAGAGGCAGGTTGGAGGCGTGAGAAAGACATTAAACCAGGCCTCAGGGGGCTGGGTTCTCCTCGGCCACTGACATTGGTAAGACCATTTTTTCTTTCTTTTAATCTTTATTGTAGAAAGTATTACATAGGTACGGCCACTGGTAAGACCATTTTTTTCTTTCTTTTAATCTTTATTATAGAAAGTATTACATAGGTCTCCCCCCCCACATTAACTTCTTCCAGCCCACTCCTATCTCCCCGCTCCCAGGCCCTTGCCACCCCGTTGTCTGTGTCCACGGGTTATGCATATATGCATTTAAGTTCTTTGGTTGATATCTTCCCACCCACCCTCCCCTCCCTTCCCTCTGAGGTTCAACAGTCTGTTCATGCTTCTGTGGCTCTGGGTCTATTTTTGATCATAAGTTTATTTGGTTCATTAGATTCCATATCTGAGTGAGATCATGTGATACTTATCTCTCTCTGACTGGCTTATTTTGCTCAGCATAATACTCTCCGGGTCCATCCATGCTGTTGCAAATGGTAAGAGTTCTTTCTTTTTTTTATTGCTGTGTAGTATTCCATTGTGTAAATGTACCATAGTTTTTTTTATCCACTCATCTGCTGATGGGCACTTAGGCTGTTTCCAAGTCTTAGCTATTGCAAATTGTGCTGCTATGAACATAGGGGTGCGATATCACCCCACACCTGTCAGAATGTCTATCATCAACAAATCAACCAACGGCAAGTGTTGGTGAGGTGTGGAGAAAAGGAAACCCTAATATAATGCTGACAGTAATACAGACTGGTGCAGCCACTGTGGAGTTTCCTCAAGAAATTAAAAATGGAACTCCCATTTGACCCAATCATCCCACTTCTAGGACTATATCCTAAGAAATCAGAAACACTCATTGGTAAGACCATCGTGAGAGATCTTTGCACCTCAGATAAAAGGGGACAATGATGTTCCCTCCTAACTTTTGGGCCTATTGACCTAGGGTAAGGCATGTAAAGAGTTTTAAAAAATGTCAATAATGATAATAATGATGAGACTACCACTGATAATGGTATGGTAACAATTTCTTGAGAATTTATGGAATGATAGCTACGATTCTTACTTTACATGTTGTTATGGACTGAATTGTGTCACAGCCCCACCCAAGAATCATATATTTTTTAAATTTTCTTTTTAATATATTTTTATTTATTTCAGAGAGGAAGGGAGAAAGAGAGAGAGATAGAAACATCAATGATGAGAGGGAATCATGGATCGGCTGCCTCTTGCAAGCCCCCTACTGGGGATCAAGCCAGCAACCCAAGCATGTGCCCTTGACCAGACTGAATGTGGGACCCTTCAGTTTGCAGGCTGATGCTTTATCCACTGAGCCTGGCCTGCGCTCTCTTGCAGTCTGGGACCGCTTGGGGGATGTCTGCCTGCCGGCTTAGGGGATCAGGCCTAAGCTAGCAGGCAGACATCCTTCTCGCAGTCTGGGGCTCTTGCAGTCTGGGATCCCTTGCTCCTTACTGCCTGCTGGCAGTGGAGGTGGGAGAGGCTCCCATCACTGCCGCTGCGCTCGCCAGCCATGAGCTTGGCTTCTGGCTGAGCAGCGTTCCCCCTGTGGGAGTGCACTGACCACAAGGGGTCATCTCCTGCATTGAGCATCGCCCCCTGGTCGTCAGTGCATTTCATAGCAACCAGTTGTTCCTCCAGTCTGTTTGGTCAATTTGCATATTAGGGTTTTATTACATAGGATTATACCTGTAGTTAGGCACCAACCTTCTCTCCGAGGGAATGAATATGAAGAAAGGAGTTTGGAATGAAGCATGAAGACTTAAGGTCGGTATGAGAAAGGCTTTGGGCTTTGTACAGAAAGCAAGACATTGGAGAAAAGTGACAAAATTATGGATTCTCTTTCCCTGGAAAGCTTACTCAATCAGAGAAGCTGTGCTTGGGTGTGGCCTTCCTCAGAAGCAGGATAAACTGGCTCACCATAGGGATTGCGTGGCCTCAGGAGGCTCTGAGGATTATAGAAGTTCGTTTGAAATAGTACGACTTCACATCCTGCCTCCAGATCCCCTGCCACGAAGCAGGGCCAGAGCGGTGCCTCTTCCTGCTTGTCCCATTTCTCGGCAGCACGTTGTGCCAAGAGAAAATACTCGAACAGCGCCACCGGGAAGCCCCGTAACAGGAACGGGTGAGTGAAATGCACCAGGGGAGTAGGGACCGACTCACTGAAAAGAGATGGCGCCAGAGAGAGGCACCGCAGGTGGAAACACACCTGCCTTTCTGAACTGAACACAAACGAGGCCTGCAGAAGACCTACAACAGCAGGGCAGACGGGCTGTGTTGTCAGAACTACAGGATCACCCTTGTTATCAAGATGGATCTTTAGAGCAGACTATGTGCTCTAATAATACGGCCCATCAAATAACACTAGCCCGGAGGAAGAAGATGTGAAACAGACAATTACAAGATTGGAACCAGCAGCCTGTCATTTCACTTAAAGCTTTCAGTGATGTGTGGCCCTGGGAGAGAAGAGAGAGTGCAACTCAAAATAGCAAAACTCTTAGAAAAAAGGAGTGAAGAATAGTTACTATACTGTGTGAACCACTCTATGCATTTGATTCAAAGGCAGTAATCCAATAAGCCAAAGACACGCAGTATTCATTGGCAAACACTTGTGGACACATTCACAGAACACTGGAATCGCTGTAACTATTGGCTTTTGAAATATCACATATGCACAGTTATACTTGATAATTTTACTCACTTTGATTTCTCCTATTGTGGGAAAGTGGACTGTCCAAAAAAATCTGTTAGGGAAATTCTAGATGCAGGGGATTTCTGACACTTGTCTTGCGAACCCCAGTGTCTGAAAGAGCTTAAGCAATTACATTCACGCCAGCTGTGTGTATTCGAACACCAGCAGGCTCACAAGCAGTACCCACATCATTCCTGGAGCCATGTCGTTTTTCTTAGCATCCTGTGGTTTGATTCCAATGCTGGGAACAAGAGAGCTTGTGTCCCCGCCTCATATAATGCTGACAGCTTTATCACCGTCTGCCACATTCTCTTTTCTCTCCAAAACTGTCTGGAGTTTTACAGGCTCAAACCCTGATAAAGTGATGCAGAAAACTGTATCCAACTCTAAGAAACACGCACCCAGACTCCATGCACGCCTTCCCAGCCCATGGAGGGTGGACCAGTTCCCCTTACCTTTGTCATAAATTTCCTTCAAGACTCCTCGTTTTATCAGCTCCTCTCTGCTTTGCCTCATGGATATTTTCCTTTCCAGCGCTGCAAGCAAAACACAAACAGAGAAGCGGTTGTGAATAGGCAACAAAAACGGTTTTCAAAGGAATCATATTTCAACATATTGAAATGTAATGTATGGGAAAGTTTGTGTAAATTCTACTTTACTAGTAAAAAGTTAATGATATCAGCTAACATTATAATGATACTATGATCAGCATTTTAATCAGACATTTCACTTAATTTTTAAAACGATCTTCAAATTACCTATGAGGTAGGCATTATTATTTCATTTTACTGAATCCTGATTTACGGTTGAGGAAACTGTAGCAGAGAGAAGCTCAACCACCTGTCAGTCACAAGGTCACTGAGAAGAGGAACCAGGATTCAAATCAGAAACACTACCTCTGATCTCAGTTTAACCTCTGCCTCGCAGTGCGTTTCCTGAGTGTGGTATTTTTTCATAGCTGGGATTTCTTTCTTAAAGCTCTAGTTCATGTAGATCTGGCCTCACTGAGGAGTTTTTGCTCCCTGGCTATTACAAAAATGGTATGAAATTATCTCCTAGTGAGCTCTTTGGATGGAGAGACAGAGGACTACTGCTGTCCTCTCTACCCTCCAAGTTGGAGCCCCTGAGTGAGGAATGAACTGTTCAATCACCAAAATGCACCCCCCACCCCTTCACTGGAACCCAAAAGCTCCAGCAGGTGGGAACTGATGGTGGGAAAGGGAGATTTCCTCTTGAATCAGTGGGCATGATAGAGGGCAATTCAAGTGGAAAGAGAACACAGAAGTGGAGCAGTGAGGGGCAGCACTAAAGGCAGGCCTAGGGCCCCAGGTGGGCGGGGCAGGGAGCAGCCCATAAGAAAGCCATTCCAGCAGCTGACACTGCGGTTCTGGGTAAAGACCCAGTGCAGGGAAGGCAGGTGATTTTGGTTGCTTTTGTCAGTTTGAGAATATCCACATCATTTCAATAGACAGTTATTCAGGAGAAAAGCCAGCTATAAAACAAGGAAACTATTTTATGTAGACAAATTCAGATACAGACTAGTCTCCCTGTCTCTCTCTCTCTCCTTCCATCTTATACACACACACACAGTATAATTTAGTGCAAATAATACCAATAAGAACTAGGAAGCCAGCAAGGGAACAGGGATGGCGATTCTATCTCGGATACCCACGGGCTGTGACCTTAGGCCACTCTGCGGGTCTGGGATGCGCTCAGCCCCAGCTACTCTGATGTAAAAGGCTCAGGTGGGACCTGGACATCTGTATTGTAACAGAAAGCTCTCTGGGCTATTCTCAGCCATATCGAGACTGAAAATCACTGATGATATATTTTGGGACTTACTATTTTTAAAAAGTTATGTTCTAACTCTTTCTGTTAACTTACAATGAATTAAGGGGTACAAGACAGAAAAAGAAATGTCAGGTTAGGCTACACTTATATATAGCTTACTGAGAACATAATAAAACAGATACATATAGATATATACCCACAGAGGTGAGGGCAGGAGGGTTGTACGGGAGGACAAGCATCAGCGGTGGAGTGTAGGGACCCTGGAGCAGTGTTGATTTGGGGGCGAAGGAGGAGTTTTGACCCATACCCAATGGCATGTTACACAGTGGCAGGAGAGCAGAAAGATGTTCTTTATGTAGAAGAGGAACAACCAGAGAAGGGAAAGCGAACGGCCTCCAGCTAGGTTAGAAAGTCCTGCCTGCTTTAAAAAGACTGGCTGCGGCACAGTGGGAAAAGAGAGCAAGGGGAGACGAGTGGGGGTGGGGGTAGGGGGAGAGGGTCGGGTGTTAAGCAAGAAGTTTGTTACCAGGTCTTGTGGGTGACACAAAGATGCGCTTTGCCACCCTGTACTGAACCACATACATTGAACAGATTTCTCTTGAACAGAATGGGGTTTCCCGGGGCTTTTCAAAACCACAGAATAAAGTGGATGGACTGGATCCACAGTGCTGAACAGAGTACCTGCAGCAAGAGGGGCAGGCCCTGGGCATGGAGTTCCCAGGCTGCAAGTATCCGTAGAACACAGACGGCCTCAGGCCACACACTGGGCCGTCAGGACCTCAGCTGTCTCACCGCACTCACTCAGCAACAGGGACCTGCTGCCGGTGGGGAAAGCCACGCTGCTGGGTCCGGAGGTGATGATGAGCAAAGGGACAGTCCCTACCCTCATAGAATTTACAGTCACCAAATGACATTACTTAATGTGCGATTACAAGCTGAGAGAAGGCCCCTTAAAAGAAAGGGACATGGTTCTACCAGAACGTATGATAATTAAGCTGGAGCATTAGAAACGGTTTTTCTGAGGAAGAGACCTCAGAGACCTCTGAGCTGAGTTTGGAAGAGGAAGATATATGGTCTCAGCAAATGACCATCAGGCATGGGCTTCGGGGAAACACTCCAGACCTAGCAGGCTGGGCAATGGTTCTTGATGGAGAAATCATGGTGCCGAGGACAAAAGGAGAGCAAGTTGATGTAACTGCAGCCACCAGCACCAGGTGGAGATGGGCAGAGGGGCTGGAGCATGCAGGGCCTCATGGACCTTGTTATTCTAAGGACAGTGGGAATAAATGATACTAGCTGAGTATCTGAAAGATCATATCCACTTTAGTGAGAAAAATGGGTCAGAAGTAGGCCAAGTGGTAGGTGATTAGGTCAGTTTGGCAGGAGATGATGGCAGTTTAGACTAAGATGCTGGTGACGGAGATGGAGCCAAAGGACGCATTCAGGGCACCTGAAGGTGGCAGTGATGCCATGACTTCAGGTGAAGGATTCGACGTGGGATGTGAAGGAAAGAGAGAGGGGTCCAGGACAACTCCTTCGGTTCCTGACTTGCATAGCTGAATGGATGGTGGTGTCTGTCCATTACTAAGGTAGGGGACCCAGGATGAGAATCAGGTTTGGAGAGATGATGGAGAGCTCAGTGTTAGCCATGCCTAAGAGGAGACATCAAGCATGTGCCAGGGAAATGTAGTTGGATCCTTCATAAGATGAGGATGGGAGTTAAATGAGACTGTGCTGTGTGATACTGACTTTGCTAGACGCTCTCAGGTACCAGCGCTTCTCATCTTTCCCATGGAAAGACTCCTGATGGCCAAGGAGTGATGCCAGGGGCGCCAGGGGTCTGACTGAAGCTGCCTGTCCTAAGCACGCCATTTCTTTACCGTATTGAGTCTTCCCTTCAGAACTAAGATAGACCTCATATAATGTATCTGCTCTTATGTAAATACGAAAGTATTCCCTGCCCACCACCACACATTTCTAAGTTTGATTGACATTCTTGGAAGAGATGGCTTATTTATTCTCTGGCTTTGTGCATTTCCTAGTTCAGAACCCTTTGCCCAGATCATTTTGAGAAGGGTGGAATGTCATGTAATTTAACGTATTCCACAATACTTACCACAATCCTGTGAAATATTATCATCCCCATTTTACAGGTAAAGTACCCGAGGCCCAGAAAAATTAACTTTCTCAGAGCCACACAGCAGTAAGTGTGTGGTTCTAAGCAAGTTAATGCCTCTTCCCTCCAGCACCCCACCTCCCCCCCATGATACCACATTGTTATGAAGATGGCTATAATGTATATCAGGCTCTAAATATTACCTAATGTATAAGGCTCTAAAACTGGAAGACAATTTTGTGATTAGCTTGTTTGGGGCTCAACATCATGGTAAAATGACATAATTACACTTTAGTTTTAGGAGCTTCTCCCTTCTAAGGCACTCTTTACTCACTATCTCTTTTAACAAGGTATGTGTGATGCCTCTCTTTTAATCTTGTTTCTAGTAGACCTTCCAAAGTTAGAGCGAAGTTTAAATGGGACCAAAGACAAACTCACTACCGCTCCAGGGAGTGAAATAAAGTGGGTTGTTTGGTGCAGAAGGTCAATTCAGATCATTTGAGCTGGTCTACTATGGAGCCATAAAACACAGGGAGAAGAGGATTTAATGTGGGGAAAATATAATGACCAGCTCACCAAGGCTGGGTCCAATCCTCCCTCACCAATAATTTTGGTTTGGGGTAGAATAAAGACAAAAAGAAAAAATAAAGCCAAGATATGGAAGCAACCTGAGTGGCCATCAAAAGATAAATGGATAAAAAAGATAGGGTACATACATACACTGGAATATCACTCAGAATAAAACCATGAAATCTTGTCATTTGTGACAACATGGATTGACCTAGAGAGTAATATGCTATGTGAAAGAAGTCAGACAGAGAAAGACAAATACCACATGATTTCACTTATGTGTGGAATCTAAGAAAGCAAATTAAACAAACAAAACAGAAATAAACTCATAGATACAGAGAACATTTTTATGGTTGCCAGATGGGAGGGTTTGAGGTGGGGTGAAAAGGGGGGAGGGGTTAAGATGTGCAAACTGCCAGTTATAAAAACAGCCACAGCTTACTGATGTGAAGTACAGCCTAGAGACTATAGTCAATAATATTGTAATAACTATGGATGGTGTCAGGTGGGTACTAGACTTATTGTGGTGATCACCTTGTAAGTTATATAAATGTCTAATCCCTATGCTATACACCTGAAACTAATATGTTGACTGTAATTAAAAAACAAAAAAGGTAATAAAACAAAAAAAAAGTTATGAAAAGTTAAAGAAGCCAGAAGAAGAGGAGCAATGCATTGGGGAAAACGGAAGAGGTAACGTGTACTACTCCTGCTCAAAGGACAGCAGGAACACATCAGATAAATGGGACTCGAGCATGATGGTGAGCCAATCCACCAAGGAGTGCTGGTCTTTGAGAGGTGGGCAAAGGACGTTAAAAGAATAAACCTATCCATCTCTTTAAAAAAAGAAAACTGAGAAACTGTCTTGTTGGCAAAAAGCATATGGGTGAGTAATATTTTCGTATAAATGAAAAATAAAGTCAATAAGGACTTATTTTAAAATAAGAAAATCTATTTAAAGAATAAGGGTCCCTCCCTCTAATGTTTTTCCATTATTAAAGCACAAGGCAGTATAAACTGAGTGACCACATGTGGAAACATTCTGGTGTAAACGTTTTT